CTATTCTAAAACACCTACAAATACCAACAATTCTAATTACTCAGAGTTGCAATTTCTGAACATTGCCGAAGTTCTTTCATGATGGCTTTTCCTCTCAGTTGGATGAGAGGATGATGGAATAGCTGGGAATTATAGCCTAGTCCATTATCAGAATGGGGAAGCTGGGTAGCTCGGTGACATATTAGGTTGGACATTTATGATGGCGTTAGCAGCAGAGCATGGAACTCTCTCTTCAAAGCCTTTTCTTTAGGAACCAATCCCTTCTGCCATCTACTTTATAGTCTATTGCTTTACTAGCCAGATTATTCCTCTCCTGCTGACAAACAAATACAAACTAGTCTTATACAAACTTTGGGGCTTTTTGTCCAGGCTTTCTGGTTTTGTAGCCAGGACAGTTCTCTGAGCATTTTTACTGATTTCCAGCACACACATCTTCTAAAAACCTAGCAAAGTTGTATTTCCGGGTCAGTGTTAATTTTCCCCATTGTGATTTAATTAACTCTGAAAGAGACTAAGCCTTTCTCCAGGAAGGAAAAAAAAAAGACAAGTTGTACCTGAATTTCCACTATACTCAACAGCCCACATAAATGTCTTCTGTACTGTGCATTTGAGCATGAGTGTGGTGGAGGGCAGATGAGAAATGAACTGATGCTTGTAACAATTTCCATGCAGTAACTTTTGAAGTTCTCAAGAACTCTGGTGGTTCATGGAGAATTTATCACTCTGCACCCAGGCACTTGGATTTTTCCATTCAGCTTTTCTCTGTGGCTCTAGATCTTTAAAGGTCACATCTGTATTATTCCCAACTCTAACAACACAAATGCCTGCATGTGCTCAGTAGATATTCACTGACCGATATACCTGTGATTTTTAATTTACTTGGGTCCTTAAAGATGCTTCAACGTTTCAAGAAGGAAATCCAATCTGGCTTAAAAATCTCCCAGTGGCTTCTCTCAGGCCTTGGAACAAAGCTTACAAGCTGTGAAAGTCCACAAGGCCCTAAGCTTTCTGGCTATGCCATGTTCTTTAGGATCCTTCTGCAAATATTTCCCTCTATTAACTAATCTCTGTCGCGCTGATCTCCTTCTGGGTCAAGCCCCTTCCTAGCTCAAAGCCTGTGTGCCTGCTGTCTCCTCTGCCTGCAGCATGGAGAATGCTTTTCCAGTTACAGATTCCCCATGACTCTTTGAATGGCTGTTCTCTCTCAACCTTCAGGTGCAAATTCAAGCGCTACATACTCAAGCAGAGCTGCTCTGGACACTGGAGTAGATTGTTCATTCCTTTTAGTGCACAAACTGTAATCAGATGTTAAACTTTCACTCATTTATTTATTGCCTGCGTCCTTTATTAAGATGTTCAGGCAATGACGACAAAGCTGGATGTGTATTATTCACAGCTGTAGCCCCTGGCACTAACTGGACACAAGGAAAGTATTGTCTATACACTTGGTGAAGGAATAGGAATGCCCACCCTTTTCTATTACTCATTTACACCCACATTTCAGAGGAGACATTCAGGGAAGATTTCCTACTTCCACGTAAACCATTCTAAGCCCCCGTACACAGGAAATAGTTTTGGTGAAATTGAGAAAGGAAGTACTATCATTAAGAAGATGATATGCAAGGCAAACAGTTGGAAGGAACAACTTCCTTTTTTTCTGATTTTGTAGCTGACTTACTGTGGGGGCGAAGTAACAGAACTCCATTTCCATGAATAATTTGGGGATAATAAGTCGGGTACATTCTGCATTGTGCCATTAGGACAAATACTATATGTCACAGAAGAACAATGTTATAGAAAGCTGTTGCCTTTGCTTTTTTTTGTCTCTTGTTTTAATGTAGTCTCATTGAAAATACTCTAAGGCTATGATGAAATTTCCCAGTTAGGACATTTTCTTTCCTCATTCCCTTAGAAAATGGCAAGAAACCATCTGATTGTGGTTTCTAATTCCTGGCAATAATAAAATCCATATGTCATGAAGCCCATGGCTTGTCAGGGAGTGATGAACTTGTTAAATAATCAAATGCCAAGTGAAATCATTAGTTGTAATTCAGAAGAATACAATTTCGGATAAGGTAGTATAATACTGGGCTGTTCATTTAAGCTTGCTTTCTTGTTAGCAAAATTATGTACATATTCTGATGGTTAATCCTCAGGGCATGCTGTATTTAGAATAGAAGGTAACTTATCCCTGTATAAGACAACCCAGGAAAGAGAGTCATTTCTGGAGAATATCTACTCAGAGGAGATACAAGCTTTGTTTATATCAATTTCACTAACTTAAAGTGATTTGCCTACCATCTTCCTCACCTTTGACATCCTATACCTTGTATACATTTTGAAATAGCTTGTTATTCTGAAGATTATTTGTGATCCTACCTAATAACATCTGTGCTATTGTATACTTAATATATTTGATTTAAAGTGCTTCCCTTTTTAAATGGCAGCATATATTTCTTTGAAGAGGAAACCTTGTATTACCAGTGTAAAAAGACATAGCAGGGCTGCAGCCAAAAATGAGGGCTACCACAATGGGATCAAGCAATTCTATACAAATAAATCCCAAATGGAGGTTGCTGTCTATAGAAGGTTCCGAGCTGGTAAACATCAGCTAGCCCCAAGTTAAAATGTCCTCCATGGCTGAGCACTGGTGGCTTATGCCTATAATCCTAGGTACTCAGGAGGCTGAGATCTGAGACTCCAAGCTGGGTACTGTAGATCAAACACTGGACATTCAAAGCCTTTCTAGTCTCACTGTAGACATTGTAAGCTGATCGTGGTATTTTTCCCTCTGGCTACAGATCTTGCTTGAAAAAACTTCTCAATTCAGCACCCTACATAGCTATGACAAATTGATTTGACTTGAACCTAGTCATGTAGCTTGCAATCGGAATGTATTAAAAAACAAATCAATAAACCAACTGTGGGGATCTGGTAATACTGGTAGAGGGAGCATGAAAAACACATCCTTTCTGTTAGAGAAGCAAAAGGCTTCTGCATGAAGTGTTGTTTGGGCATGGATAGTGTAATGAACATATATGGATACAAGTAAATATGCAAGTGAAATAAGTATTTCAAGCACGCACCCCCCCTACATTCTATATTTGTTTGCAATGTGAAACCTTTAGACATCCATAAATACACAAGAATCACCTCACTGCTTAACACTGGCAACAGAAACCGTTACACCCCATAAAATGATACGAATTGCCTTTTGAGGTAAAATATCCGGGATACAATAACACTGTGTTGGAAGAACCAGAGCTTTCTCCTTCTTTATCTCATGACACCATAGCAGGCCCCATCTCTTACAAAGCTAGCAGACATAAAATAGGCTCCCTCCCTGCCACACCACACATTAACAAAAAAAAGCACATTGAAATAGCTTAGCATAACACACCAACATCAAAGGTAAAGAGATTTCACCAACTGGCAGAGAACTGGTGTGTTGTCAGTATGGGGTTAATCTTTAGAAAAGAAGGGAGGATGAGGAGTCCTATGGGTTTCTATTTTCTTCTGCACACACACACACACACACACACACACACACACACACACACACTCATTAATTTCATCTGGCTTCTGAGCATCTCAGGCTTTGTTACTCACGCAAAGACCCACTTGAAGGCACACAATGCCTTCAGCCTCTCTCTAGTCCGGGAAACATCCAGTGCTTCCTTTGAACTATTTTGTTTGAACACCCCAGTAAGTTATTCATGCTCTGCCAAACAGTTCAGAAAGCTCTGGGGATGGGAGACGCAGCGAGCTGGTGAGAGGGGTACCCCTTTTGATGACTCTCTTATGAATTAATACCAACCTGAAAAGAGGCTCATTAGTTTAGGCTGGATGCCCAGAGGTAGGAAAGGAAGGGACAGAGGCAGTGGGTGTGGAGGGAAGGGAGCAGTGGTCCTTCATGAATCTCTGAGGCTTGAGAGTCTACTAAGCCAAATGAACTAACTGCATGGCTCTTATCAATCACTGCCCAGGATCCTAACTCATCTGCATGACGTTAGGCCCCTTCCAATGCAGAGAGAATGATCTTTGCAAACCACACGTCTGTCCATACTTTCCCTTAAGTGGCCTAACCTAGCTTTCTAAAAGGCCTACCGCTTAATTCTTCTTCAAATTCCAGCCCCTCTTGCTTACATTGAATCCTTCCTTTCCACATAGCCTTGGCGGATCACAAGACCTTTATATGAACTACTCACTCCATCTTTTATAATTAGCTCAAGTGTCTCATGTGTCCCAAGGTAGGCTTATTCCGTTTTTGTCCCCCTGACAGGGTCATTCAGCTCCTCCTGATGTCTCCTCTTAAAGAATTCTTTCTCTGTATTTACAACTGCAGTTGTACTTTGGCACCTATAGGAGACTGGTTCTTGGATTCCCCCTATATCACATGGATATCAAAATATACAGATGTTCAAGTTCTTGATATAAACTAGCATAATATTTTCATACAACCTATACACAGCCTCCATATACTTTAGAGGTTACTCATACCTAGTGCGATGCAAATGCTATCAGAACAGTTATGCTGTATTATTTGAGGGACACTGGTAAGAGATAAAGTCTGTGCATGTTCAGTACAGACACAATATAGAAGGGGAAGATTTCAATCTACAGTTGACTGGATCTGTGATCTCATAGAAACAGAGGAGTGGCTGTATTTACAATTTATATTTGTGAGACTAGTTTTCTGGTGTCTGTCATGATACTGTGATCTCTATGAGGCTACACTGCATACACACACACACACACACATACACACACACACATATTTGACAAAAGACCCTTGAAAGAAGAGTATCCCTACAACTTCTAGCAGCTTTGTGAGAGCAGGAGTCCTGATCATGACTACCAAAATAAAATGCACTCAAGTCATTTTCTTTGCTAAATAAACAAGCCTATGTCTCTTAGGGCCTTCGGGAACACTAGACCTGTCGTTGGAGCTGGTGAAAACAGAATCCTCTGTGAAAGGCGTCATGGAGAATCTCACTTACGTTGGTTTTGAAGCCTCTGCTTGATCAGTCTGGAGTTTCTCTCCTCCTTCCACCTCCATCGTGCAATACACAATACGGTTTGGAGCCAAGGATTTGAGTCCTTGGACCTCCATGATCACCACCTGAGAAACAGGATCACACAGAATGCATGTTATGGCCGCTCAGGGGAAAATAAACAGATGAGAAGTCACAAAGAAAGCCAATGGGGTTTGGGATGGCTTCGACCAAGGTCTTACTAGTCATGCTGGGTCCAATTTCGCATGTAAATGCAATTGCTCACAACACAGCTATTGCTCCTAGAAGTAAAAACAAGTCCTACTAATTCAGATACTTATAGGAACAAACAGGAAATGTGCAATGGGTTGCTCTTTCCATGTTAAACAAGTAGTACTGTTTTCTTCATTTCCACTATAAGTCACTCCCCACCCCCCTTTTTGGCTGTATTAGGACTTGAATTTGGGACACCGGACTTGCTTTACCAACGGAAACATACATCCAGTCCCTTTTGATTTAAGCTGTTTAGTTTTTTGCCCTAGAGGCTGGCCTTAGACCATGATCTTCCTAACTCCTGAGTAGCTAGGATTCTAGTGGGAGCCACCTTGTTCAATTTAGACTAGCTTTTAGTTCAATACTTGGGAGAGACATAGCTCATGAACTCACTTTTTTCTTCTTTTATGATAAGAGAAGCAATAGTACCATTTCTACAATAAAGAGCAGTACCATGCATTGTTAGAGTTAAAGGTACAATGGGGAGTAGTGAAGACTGTGACATACTGGAGAACATACGATCCATCTAAGTAGGGGCGTGCACCTCCCAGGTGTCTTCCCGCAGTTTAGAGTTAGCACAGTCTCACAATTTCCTACCAAAGAGTGGGAATAGGAAGCACAGTCCAAAATCTGATTGCGAAGTGGTGACGGCAATGTACACAGAGAGGAATAAAATATGCACACTGTGCACACTATGCACTGAAATAAACACAAAACGTGTCTGTGCTTGCCGTCTCTGGTCTAGTGAGAGAGAAAACCTAGTGTCATCTTAGATTAAGATGTATCATTTACAATCTTGGCAATTCCCATAAACTCCCACCCTGCACTCCATTCCATAGTCTGCGACTGTGACATGTGGCGATTTCAGTGGTATGTCTGCCATGAGACAGGAGGGAAGGGAGAGAAAAATGACACTGATTAAAACAAATCTGAACTAAATGACCCACGTACATCAGGGAACAAGGATGACTACAGAATGTGGGGAATCATTCAGTTAGACTCCAAAAGAGTCATCACAAAAGGATAGGATGGGAATATTTAAAAAAAAAGTTGTTTGAAAGGTTTGGTTCAAGCAAGAGCAATAGGGACATCTAAGTCTTCATTTTGCCATGCCACACACAGCTCACTGGCTCTGAAACTGAATGTGGCTCAGAATCACTTACAGAGTTTGTCAAGCCAAACTCCCCTAGAGTTTCTGACCATGGCTGGGCTGGGGCTAGGGCTTGCATTTTTAATCATTTTCATATTGATGCCGATGCTCTTGACCCAGGACCCAGAACTCATGTGACACTGGGCAAATTACTTGATGTTGAAGATGCTTAATTTTCTTTCACACCTGCAGAGGCCTTAGTTTTCTTCTTGTCTGTAAAGAGCGGATGATTATATGCACCCTGTGGCTGTCAGGTGAGGATCCAGAGAGATGATGTATGTGATCGAGACCAAAGGAGGATAACATCTATCAATCTATCTATCTATCTGTCTGTCTATCTACCTATCTATCTTTACCACACTCATAGGAAGAAAGGAAAGGCATTGTGGGAAGAGTATTCAATTTGGAATTTAAGAGATTTTGCTTCCAATTTTAATTCTGGAGCCTCGCTAGCAGTATAATCATTTGCAGGTGTGTTGACATCAGTCAGGCTTGTTTTTCACACCTGGAAATACCTCAAAGGATTGACTAGTGAGGGGCAGGAAGGATGGAGGGATTCAGAGTTAATAAAAGTCCAGCATCAGCCTGCAGCAGTATTCTACAAATACCTGTTGCTTTTCTTCAGAGCAATCCGTGTGCAAGGCCACACACTTGGCATCCTGGACCCCTTTCCTTTGCTGATAAGTGCTTTTCACTAATTATATATACTAACTCTTGTATCAGCCTCCAAAATCAAATCCTAGCTTGTCTTGATGGGATGACAATCCCCCTTCCCTCATCTCCCCCCAAAACACATCCACAAATAGATGTGCAATGGCTTTGGTGGCAGTTTTGTTCTGGTGTACAATGTAGTGTTCCAATTAAAAAGTATCTGGGACCCTGGGGGCATTTCTATTTCGCATGTATTTAGAAGGCAAAGCTACTGGGATCATATTCATGGGAGTATGGGGAGCGACCTTCCCACATCTCTATTTCATAACATCAACTCCATAATATTGACAATCGATAAAGAATTAGAAAATTGCAGACTTAGAAGCTTCATGAAAGTCAATAAGCCACCTTCTTCCCTCGCCTTTTCTGTAGGAAGACAAGAGGCAGTAGGGAATAAATTGCCACCTTTAATTGGCAATAATCAGATTCAAAGGCACCTAAGAAAAAGCATTCAATACCTCAGGTGGCAGTGCTTATTTTTTTAAGGAAGTTTCTGTGAAATTGCACTGATGATTTTTTTCACACCCCAAGTGCTCTATATTTAATTGAATGTCACCTCTTCCAACTGGCAAAAACATGTGGAAACACTAATGTGAGGATCTTGATCCAAACTGAGCCCACAAAAAGAAATTACCTACAGTTAATCCATGTCAATCCGTAAACGATGTCCTCAAAAATTAGTCTTTACATCTTTTAATTAAGTATATGAAAATACTATCTCTTCCCTTGGTCTCCCCAAATCCAGGATAATCAGAACATCCTTAGGGGTGGAATTTTACTATATTAATAAAAGCTAGAAGAAAGGATAGTGAAAGTTTTCACCAGGAAAATGTAATAATGTTTTAAGGACAGTTCGCCCTAATTTGAAGACTATACACTGTGTACATGTATTTAAATATCCCATGGAATCTTATAAATATGTGCAATTCCTATGTATCAGTTAAAAACCTTAAAAACATCCTTCTGGAGGTTGGATGTGGTGGTTCATGCCTGTAATCCCAGGAGCTGGGAGGCAGAGGCAGGAGAATGCAAGTTTGAGATAAGCCTGGACTACACAGCAAATTTAAGCCTAGTCTGGGGTGGATAACAAGACCAATTTAAAAAACAGATTATATAAAAACTGCTTAAAACCATAAGGATCTTATTAAAATACATACAGAGGGCTATGCCCCACAGAAAATTCCTTTCATTTTCTGATACCTCTATTGAGGCATATTTTATTTATCACATAATTAACCCAATTCAAGTGTACAATCCAGTGATTGTTTTGTAGATTTACCAAGTTGTATAACAAACATCATGTATTCGCTTAAGGACTTTTTGCTTTTCCCAATAAAAGTTTGTATGGTCATTTCTATTCACTAGCTCAGTCAACACTAATATAAATTCTGTTTTTGTAGATATTCCTTCTGAACATATCATATCAATGGGGTCATACTGTATGAGGTCTCCTGTGTCTGTTTTTTTTTTTAACTGGGGGGAGGGCAGTACCAGGTTTTGAACTCAGGACCTGGGTGCTGTTTTTAGTTGTTTTTAGTCAGTTGTGGGGCTTGAACTCTGGGCTTGGGCTCTATCCCTCAGCTCTTCAGCTCAAGGTGAGCACTCTACTGCTTGAGCCACAGTACCATTTCCTGTTTTCTAGTGGTTTATTGGACTTTCCTGCCTGGGCTGGCTTTGAACCGTGATCCTCAGATCTCAGCCTCCTGAGTAGCTAGGATTATAAGTGTGAGCCACCAGCACCCGGCTTTGTTTTTAGTTTTATCTCTCAAGGCTGGTAATCTGCCACTTGAGCCACAGCTCACTTCTGTCTCTTTGCTGGTTAGGAGGAGATCAAAGAGTCTCACAGACTTTTCTGTCTGGGCTATCTTTAAACTGTGGTCTTCAGATATCAGCTTCCTGACTAGCCAGGATTACAGTCATGAGCCACTGGCACCCAGCATGTCTGGCTTCTTGCACTAAGAATAATTCCACGCTAGAGTGTGTAACAGCAGGTTCTTCCCTTGCTTGCTAGATTGTATTCAGTTGTGCTGATATAGCACAATTTGTTTTATTGATGTGCCAGTTGATGGGCATTTAAATTTTCACTATTTTTGACTACTATGAGTAATGCCACTATAAATAATTGCAATGGATCAGTGGCAACATTCAACCTTCATTTCTATTGGGGAGTATCTAAAGAGTGGAATTATAGTTGACATAGTAGTTTTTATGTTTGAGCAAATGCTAGTTTCATTTCCAAAGTATTCAATGTCAAGTTTCCATTCCCCAAACATCCTAGTTCAAGGTGTAGACATGTCTAGGAACCTACCTACTAAATCAGCTTCCAGAGGTAATCGGATATAGGTGATTGAGAAACAAACATGGAGAGAAATGACAGAAGAATACATTGATATGCTGAATATTCTGCTGTCATTCTGACCTGAATGGGTTCTTAACTTCAAAGGGCTGAAATACACTTAAAGTCTCTCCCACAGCAAGGGACTTTCTACTATGTAGCCCAGGAACATAAATGGGAAAGAAAATGTACAACTCACCATGAAATGATGCTGGATTGACTTCCTTCTAAGTATAACATAGGCTGCCAAAAATTTAAGCCTTCTAAATTACATAAGGTTCTTTACAAAATCTTTGAGCTGCTTCAAGACAGAGAAGGTAACACACAATTACCTTTAGAAGCTGGCTCTTAAGATTGCATTCCTTTAAGAAAAACAAAGGCTCTTGTTGAGGAGACCCACTTTACTGATGACTGACCTATATGCTTAGCAAGCTGGTATTTTAGTAATTGCCCCCCCCCTGGGGTACAGGGGAAATAAGGTGATTTGTGGTGCATCTAATCACAAAGGTCCAGCTTGCTGGGGTAGAAAACTCTCCGGGCATTGTTGCCTCCTTCTTTGTTTTTCCTCTACAATGCTCAATAGGAAATGTACTCATTACCTTGCTCATGTAACCGTAACCCCTCTGTACAGTATTTTTACAATAAGAAACGTACACAAAAATGAAATACACACACACACACACACACACACACACACACACACACACACACACACACACACACGAAAACTCTCCAGGTTGCAGGGCTTTTTACCTCTAAGGAGAAGGACAGCACGACGTCTGACTTGGAGAGCTGATTCTCACTCTCCTCACCCATGTCGATGATGGATGCGTTGTGGCTGCGTTTAAGTTTCTGCAGCTTGAACTCTCCTCCCTTAGACACCGGCATGCTCTCTAAGTTGGCCATGAGGAGGTTAACAGAGGACTTCAGTTCCTCAATGTACATGTTTTCCATTTCTTTGGATACAAACTTTGGAAATTTGCGTTCCTTGAAAAGGCAAAAAAAAAAAAAAAAAGGTACAAACTCAGAAATAAATAGAGACCTCATTTTTATGGAAGGTTTGCATATCACAGCTCAGAGTTATGATGACAGTTACCACTAATGAAATTTACACAGATAGCATGCTGGAAAAATGTTCAGCTTTCTCTTGTGGACAGATGCTTTCTAGTTATTTACAACCTCTAATAGGTAGGAAACACACACATAAATGTATTGTAAGAAAGAGTCAAATGTTTTATTATGGTTTTTCCCCTTCATTTGCTCTAGCAGATTTGATTTGTGGAAAGAAAAAGAATGGGGTGATATTTTTTCAGATCTGGTTTCAGTTCAAACCATTTTTCTTCTTTCCTTCCTTCCTTCCTTCTTTCCTTCCTTCCCTCCCTCCCTTCTTTCTCTCTTTCTTTCTTTCTTTCTTTTTTTCTTTCTGCAAAATGCCATCAAGTTGTTTTTAAGTTATGGAAACAGAAAGACATCCTATTTCTAGATATCTATAGAGATATTCCTCACATGAATAATTCAAGAGGAGCTCATTTGAGATGTTTCAAACATAGCCGATGGCTATTTCTAAGAAGAATATTTACCGTTTTTTTGCAAGAAAAAATAGAAAAAATTAACGAAGTGATAAAAATGTGACTGAAATGCTTTTAAAGAACTTTTCATTAACCGCTGTCTGAAATTTAGGTTTTCAAAATTATCTTTTAAAAATTTGTTAGAAAAGATAGAACAATTTCGTATCCAAACCAACCTCTGCTCTATAAAACTCTGCATATATGCAGGTGATATGCTCTAGTCATGTGATTTGCTCACAATTCTGTTGTCAGAGTGTCTTGAATAAACTTTGGCTTGATCACCTAATCCAGGAATCAAACTCCACTCTTCTTTAACTGCTGGAGTGCAGAGAAAGCCAAACCTGATTTACTTATTTATTTTGCAAGTGATAGACAAATACAGCTCAAATGGACTCAAATAACAAAAGGAATCGATTGCATTGATTGGCATGAAATGCCATAGAGTAGATTCAGCTTCAACAAAGCTGGAACTTAGTTTTTCTTTAAGTTTGTGGATTAAGTGTGTACACAATGGGGGATAGGGTCTACTGGTTAACTACGGGTTTATTTGAGGATGTGCAGGACAAGAGTTAAGTCACATAAAGATGAACAAAGAGGAAAAGATGGAAAGGATAGGATAGAGAGAAGAAAAGATCAGAAGTTCAGTAGAGCTAGAAAAAAAAACAAAAAGATAATTAAGAATGAAAGAAAAAGAGAAAGAAGACAAGAAAAGAAAAGAAAACACACATTCACGTATTGAAAAACAGAAACCCTGAGAATGGCTCCAGGCTCGGTGCTGTGAGTTTTTTTTTTCACAAAATAGCCCCAGGGAAAAGCTACTGTTCGTTGAAAAGCCTCAACTCTACCCAGAACCTAGCCTCATCACTGCATCCCCCTCTTTTGTGATTCTCAAAGCAGATCACCCTCCCAGTAAACTAACCTGGGAGGGGGATCTCAAAATCTTGGGTAAAGCAGAGCATTTTTCTGCCTGTTCCAACAAACTGACTTAAGAAACCAATCAAGCCACAGGACCTCAAGCTGACCAGAGACTCCAACCAGACTCTGGTTACAGACAAAAGGGAGATACAGGACTCTTCCCACCCCTCCCAAAAAAAAAAAAAAAATCAAAGAACTTTTTTTTTCTTCTTCTTTTCTTTTTTTCTTTTTCTTGTTTTGTTTTTTTTCGTTTTTTATTACCTTATATATATATAAAAAATTTTTATTTGCTTTTCTAAAACTTTTATTAATCTTTAATTTTTGCCTCTTCTGAAAAAATAATTGTTTTCCATTAACTTTTTTTTTTTCTCCTCTTATAATTTCTATTTTAGTTTTTCTTTAAAAGCTTGGTTTTGTTTCTCTGTATTGGGTCTATGCTCAGTCTGGCTCCTCTTTATGTCACAAAAATATTGCTTAAGGTCTAGAACTTATTGATATAACATGCACTGTCTATAGGAAGAATATTTCCTCTTGCCATATCCATGAAAGATGGACAGCCATTTATCCCAGGAGTCTGAGCATGCTCTTATGTGCATGCTCTGAACCGGTTTCTGTGGGCATTAATCTTCTGTGCTAATCACTCAGGTACAAGTGATATTGTCTATCTCTATGGCTGCAGTAGACCTCTATCTAGATCACAAAGAACATGAATTAGTTTGTCCAATTTTGTGAGACACAGAATAGATATGTAGTTACAGGGGCACTTGGCTTAGAGTCAACAGACTAACTTTATTAACTAGCCATATTAATCAGTGTCACTTTATGAAGCAATTGGACATGAAGAATGAAATTGGTTGGTGGAGCTAAAAGATCATATAGATGACTACCCAGACTGAGGATTGCCTGGTATATTGCTGAATCTGACAGTTAGATAAGAGAGTTGACAAAAGAGGAGAGAAAAAGAGGTCAAGGTTCAGAGAAGAAGAGAGAGGGAGGGAGGGAAGGTGGGACAGCAGACAAGAGAGACAAGGCAGTCTAGAGTTTTGGTGTTTTCTTTTGTTTTGTTTTTCTGGGCCTGGGGCTTGAACTCTAGGCCTGGGTGCTATTCCTCAGCTCTTCAGCTCAGGGCTAGCGCTCTACCACAGAGCCACAGCGCCACTTTTGGTTTTCTGAGTGGTTTATTGGAGATAAGAGTCTCATGGAGTTTCTTGCCCAGGCTGGCTTTGAACGCAATCCTCAGATTTCAGCCTCCTAAGTGGCTAGGATTACAAGTGTGAGCCACCAATGCCCTGACCTTCTTTTGCTCAAGGCCAGTGAACCACAATGAGCCACCACATGAGTCACAATGTCACAATACCACTTCTGGCCTCTTCTGAGTGGTTTGTTGGTGATGCAAGCCTCATAGGCTTTCCTACTTGGGCTGATTTTGAACTCTGATCCTCAGACCTCAGCCTCCTAAGTAGCTAAGATTACAGGCATGAGCCACCAGTGCCTGGCATTTTAACTGCTTTTAGGTGTCTAGTTATTCTTCTTGCAGGTCAGTCCCTCAGGTATCATTTTCTTTTCAAGAATTCCTCCTCCCACCCAACCACTAGCCAGCCAGAAAGGATACTTCTTCCTTGCAGAACTTTCACTGAAATACACATTGCCATCCCACTGTACACAGCTTGCTGGTGACTTTGTGTGGTGCTAGTCTTCTGCCTAGCTGGATCCTCCTATGTATTGTTTTCTTCCCTTTCCCCCTTCCTCCCTGGGTCACCCCCAGTCTCCTTGTCGACTTCCACATTTCAGCTGGAAAACTTCACTTCTCGACCGTGGGTCACCCAATTGTCATACCAGCTCACCTTCTGAGTAGGACTTTCTAACGATGGGCTGAATGTCTGTGCTTCTATCAGATTCATCTGTTGACATCTAGTTTTGTGTGTGATATTTAGGAGGCCTTGGGAGGCAATTGAGATATAAGGACCTAGCCCTTATCAATGGGATTCGTGTGAGAGAATTCATTTGCTTTTCTCCACCATGTGAGGACACAGTGAAAAGATGGCTGTCAATGAACCAAGAATTGGGCACCCTGACTGAATCTGCGGATGCCTTGATTTTGACCATTCCAGACCCCAGGGCCATCAGTAGCCAATCTCTTGTTGTTTAGAATATCTATAATATTCTATTAACAACAGCCTGAATAGTTTAAGATACTTGTAAACTGAGGCATTTGTGTACTTTGTCTGTTTAATGCCTGTCTTTCCTGCTGGGGCATGAATCAGGACCTTACCTATCTTGTGGTTCCTGATGAATCTAGCATAATATTTAGCAAGGAGTAAGCATTTGATACACCCGGGTTGAGTAAATGGATCAATGGATTGCCAAAATGTAAATATTAAATATCCTATGTAGCTAAATGCAGCTGTGAGGAGGAGGTAGAAAGGGATGATAAATTAAGTTCTGGAAGAACATGGAGATGTTGCTTTTATAATTGGCTCTGCAATCCATTCAGTAACCACAGAGTTCTGGCTCTTTCTGGAGCCTATGCGTACAATTACTTCCTGCTTTAAGGTTGGGCTCAGCCCACAATGTGGTATATTCTAAACACACTGTGGGTGAATGTGAAAGGCAGGATGGGTGCTTCTGAAAGAGATGATGCATTTATGGCCTTTCTAGCAGCTCATGGTGATAATGCAATGTAAGAGATTCCCTACAGTCCTATTCTTTAAAACTTCTTAATTTCTATTAAGGGTCACCCTTAAAATTCTGGAATACCAGGCTGTGTGGTGGTACATGCCTCTAATCCCAGCCATTCAACAGGTAAGAGGACTGGGAGTTTGAGGTAAAGTTAGTGAGACCATATCTCAAAAACAAAATGCAAAGAAAAGGGCTCGGAGCGAGGTACTTGCTTGGGATATTCCATGCCATGGGTTCAAGTCTCACTGACACTGCCTGGTACAGGCAGGTAGCTCTAGGGGTACCTTAGAGAGAAGATGGATGTAAAGCATGTGTTCTCTCATTTGTGGAAGTTAGAATTAAATTATAATAAATAAGCAAGAACTTTGGGGTAGTATCGAAGTATATCTCAGCATATTAACTGAAATATGGGAGATTCGGGGGGAGAACTCAAATGGTGTAATTCATTAGAAAGGCTAAGTTACAGTCCAACAAAATAAACACCAGGAAACAGGTACTTGAAAGATGGGACTGGGGTCAAGGAGTGAGGGCTAGACAAATGAAGAGAGTTGGGGTGGAGAATGCAATCATCAAATTCAATGCATATCCTAAGAAACAAAGACAATTGAGAGGAGTGGAGGTGGGAAGGATGGGGGGTGAGAATGAGGAAACGAGTAACACTGATCAAGATGTTTATGTTCATGAACTGCTTTGTTAACAGCAACACCTTCATACAACTACTTAAAGATAATCTTTTTCTGGGGGGGTGGCGTTCAGTCGTGGGGCTTGAACTCTGGGCCTGGGCGCTGTCCCTCAGCTCTTAAGCTCAAGGTGAGCACTTTACCA